TAATCTCCATAGCAATTTCGTGGTTGGACATGATGTTTTGGAGGAAATAATTTTAGGGATGAAATTACTATGTTTCGGTGTAATATAAATTCCCTGGTGGACATTAAGTACGAGAAACAACTGCTTTTACTTTGAATAAAAGTGACATTGTAATTGTTCAATGGGTAGTATCTAGCGAATGACTTAATTTCGAATTTTCATTGCATTTTTTAGCAACTAAACGAATGTCTACTTGTCGTTTCCTATGTAGTCAGACAATTATTTAATTACTGAAGCAGAGAGCCTTATTTCTATCCGAAATATTAATATTTATTGTAAACTGTGAATAGACTAATTAATTTTGTCAGGTAGAATATATTTCGCAACGGGACTCAAAACGCGTCTCCATTCGCGTCGTTCTTTTGTGTATCTTCGTAATCACGCTTAGAAAGTCACTGCAGAGAGGAATTTTGAAAAATTCCTGTCGCGGCGAAGTTACCTTTCCGATGGATACAAAGTGTATACGTACCATAAGAGGGCCGAGAACAGGTATAAGGCGTGCATAGTAACTAAAGTCGTCAATGGGCGTGAATGGTTCAATTCGGCCCGGAGGCCATCAAGTCTCGGCTACCTGATCGGTTTTAGCAAGTTATGGAATTAATGAAAGGGTCTAGCCAAATAAACATGGTAAAAGTGCCCCCTGAACCAAATTGATCTTTGCGCATATCATTCGATAGACCACTCGAAGAATACCCTTGCTGCCAAGTATCAAGCTGCTACCTATACTACTATGGTAATTACAGGACGAAACGCAATTTACAGTTTAAGCTCCGTTCCTCTTGTCCTGCTCAATGCAAATTTACGAAAAAAATTGTAGACACTCTACCCAATGGCGTACACGTCTGTGAATTTTTTCAGAATTTTTGACTGCAAAATCGATTTTTAAAAAATTCGGAAAATTTTAAAAATGCTGATTTTCATATTTTTGCAGAATTAGCGTTTTGTTACGGTTATCGATGTATAATTTTTTCAGATTTTTTAGAGTGGTGTATCATACTCGAAAAAATTACAACTTTCTGAATGCAAAGGAGTGTCATAATCGACATACTTTATTCATTAAATGGTTCTTATACGCAGTTCCAAACACTTTCACATGTATCAAGTAAGTGAATGCGCTTAATTTGGATGTATCTTCTTTTTTCTTTACATTGGGAAATCTTCAAATGACACCCTGATTCTTCTCGATTCTTAGCCACTGAAACCCCCATGAGGTTTTACCCATGGGAATGAGTTTCATCTGTTGTAATTTTGATTTGTAGCACTAGTAACCTGTTGCCTTTAATTTAATCTTCATCACTATCGTTATTTACTATCGGATTTACTTGTTCAGCGTGGAAGATTTTGCTACGTACATATTTCTAGAGGCCTTATCATTTTTGTAATATATCGAGCATGCGATAAGTAATAAATTATCGCAGCTACGTGCGAACAGCATCCGACAATATGATTGCCATTTGCACACTCGCAGAAATTACGTTTAATAATGATCTTTTCATGCCTTCAGCAAATCGTCTCGGCAAAAACTTCGATGCTGAACAGATAAATCTGGTAATAAATAACGATAGTGATGAAGATTAAATTAAAGGCAACAGGTTACTGGCGCTGCAAATCAAAATTACAACAGATAAAACTCATTCCCATGGGTAAAACCTCGTGGGGGTTTCAGTGGATAAGAATTCAAGAGAGACGGGATGTCTTTGGAAGATTTTCTCCATGTAAAAAGAAGAAGATATATCCAAATTAAGCGCATTCACTTACTTGATACATGTGAAAGTGTTTGGAACCGCGTATAAGGACCATTTAGTGAATAAAGTATGTCGATTATGACACTCCTTTGCATTCAGAAAGTTGTAATTTTTTCGAGTATGATACACCACTCTAAAAAATCTGAAAAAATTATACATCGATAACCATAACAAAACGCTAATGCTGCAAAAATATGAACATGGTCACACGAAAGACTAAAATAATAATATAAAGAAACGTCGGTTCTTCATTTTTCTAGGTGTGATGCCCCATTTCGAAAAATCTGAAAAAATTACACATTAATAACCATAACAAGACGCTAATACTATAGAAATATAAAAGTGGTTGTTCGATCATTTCAATATAAAATCAACATTTTTAAATTTTCCGAATTTTTTAAAAATCGATTTTGCAGTGAAAAATTCTGAAAAAATTCACAGGCATGTACGCCATTAGGTAGAGTATCTACGATTTTTTTCGTAAATTTTCATTGAGCAGAACAAGAGAAATGGAGCTTAAACTGTGAATTGCGTTTCGCCCTTTAACTACCCTAGTAGTAGGGGTAGCAGCTTGATACTTGGCAGAAAGGGTTTTCTTCGAGTGGTCTATCGAAGGATACGCACCAAGATCAATTTTGTTTGTGGACACTTTTACCATGCTTATTCGGCTAGACCGTTTCGCGAGAAGCGCAGAGTTTTCCCATCGGTGCACAGCGTAAATGTTGTAAGTACATTCTTTAAGGTTCATGGACCGAACTTAACATGCACCTTCTGGACAAAGAGGCATTCAAGCTGTTCGAACTACAGATTACAGTTCCAGTTAGTTGCTGGTCTCGAACCGGTATTGCCAGAAATCACTGGATTTAAGCAACCGATGGGATGTACTTGAACACGCGTGATTTCCTAGACGATATTCTTAACTACGAACACTTACCGATGCTTACTAACCGTACACTTAAATCACTAAAAAATTTGCTCAAAGAAAAATTGGATATGAAGAATGTGTCGCGTAAAATATTGTGTAAGCTGTTGTTCCGTTTTTTTTTTTTTCTTTGGAATTATCGCGAAACGCGGATTATTTTTCAGGCTGAACAAGATTTATTGGAATTTTACGTAACGACGACTTTCATTCGATGTATGAATAGTTTCTACTTGAAAATAATTTGAGAAACGGAATAAAATATATGTGATACGTATGTGAAATAATGTTTGCATATTTATAATAGATACATTTTTATCGATTACTTTGTTTACATAACCTTGTATTAATATACGTCTATTATTGAGATGCAAGTAATTAAAATTTCGGCATTTGACTTCCTGTGTTGACTATTTCAACACGAGTTACGCAACCGTGTCATAAATGAGCACTCTCACACAAGAAATAAACGTAGATGCATAGACGCGTACGTATGCTATGCTGTGTATACTATCCGGTTACACTGTTTCATTCTAACTAACCTAACCTAACCACAATTTTAATGCAATTTCACACTGGATTATATTTTGCATTGCAGAACCGTATGCTTCGTCGTTCGTATAATTTTCACTTTCGTTTGATACATTATAAATACAATTTCTAATTAAGAATAATTTCGTTCTAAGAAAAATATATGTGTATACCTTAGTCGATATATCAGCGATTTGTAATTCCTACACACGATACACGAGATATAAATATTGCGAACATATAACATTAATAACGAATCATATTTTATTCAACTGACACTATTAAAAAGAAAAAAAGACTTCATAATAACATTCAATTTTACGCTAACATTCTGACTGCCCTCTTAACTGCCCGCTTATTTACCGTAATAAAGATGCCACTTTGTTGTTCATCAGCTTTCGTTTCCCCTTCCCACGTTTCGTTCCTCCGCGAATCGAGTTGCCTCTTACTAAAGCATTCCCGCTATAACATCCTGTAGCACCATAAATCCAATATGGAAATGTATAATTTTTTTCACTGCGACTCCATAGCATTTTCTAAATTGTTAGTTACGAAATTATCTGCGCATGACTGAATTATTATACGGTCAGATGGGTAAAGGTAAGCGCGAGCACAGTGCCATCACCGGTTACTATGTAAATTTATATCACGTGCTGTCGTGCAACAACACCACAAGGCAGTGGCGCTCACAAATTACTGAATTATCGTGCCAATTAACGGAATACTAGCACCGAGCAATGGTTGCTCGTCTTTGGAGGCCGAGTTTGCGTTATTAGATGCGCGTCTTGGTCAATTCATAAATTTTAATGCAACGCGGTTATGGTATGCGCGCACCAACATCTGCTCGCGTTTTCATCTCACAATGAGAATCATATTTTAATTTATGGAACAACGATACGCGTCCTGGATCTCCACATGACTTTTCGTGCTTCTTCACTCAAGGAAAGTGCACTAGATTCCGAAAATATAATACGCAACACATCGCTATTATTATTAGTGTTCTTTCTTTTACATCTTTAATTATTATCTTTCTCAAGAAACAAAGGTAATACGTGTTTTACTTTATAGAATTACGAACATGAGAAACTACGTTTCGCACGAATAATTAATTTTATGGCAAATGAGATTTTTTTTCTTAGCTGATATTTTTCATAACTATATTGAAAACGTAGTTGTTAGAAAGTTTATTTTTAATGTTTAGCTTTATTTTTTTGTTATTTTAGTAGGAATCTGTTATACCAGTAAAGTTGTGAATTTACTGTAATTCCCGCCAGAAGGATATTTGGCGCCCTTTCATGAGTGTTCAACTACGTGTATTTCTCAAATAGTGTGTTTTATTAAATTAATACCTATTCGAATCATATTTTTCGTGTCTCAGAAATAAGTAGTATACGATATTGCGTTCTACAACTTTCTGCGTACTTGTTTAGAATATTGAAGTAAAAGTTGTATACTTTCGATTATGATTATGTTAACCTCAACATTTCGTGATGTCGTGTTTCTGAATAAAATTAGTTGCTTGTAGATAACACAAAGTGTGCATTACGAAAGTGTTTTAACACTTATGTGTATTTCTAGTGAGTGTAGTTAATAATAAATTGTATTATTTATGCATGATAATGTATTGTACGATTATCATAACCTAATATTACAAGTGCTCTCTCTCTCTCTCTCTATTTACTTTGCATGAGTTTATGCAGCTTACGACGTCATGAAGTGATAGTGAAATATTTTAATGATTTCTGTATTATACAGGCTGTTCTATTATGAATCCTGACATTGAGCAAAAGATCTTGAAGTTTGAAACATTTGTCAATGATGTATTGAAAACGGATCTTGCACAATTAGAGCAGAAACTTGATAGCAAGAATGCAGATGTTGCTGAGTTCATTCAATTAAAATCTACGATAACCACCCTTCAGGCTAATGAGTTTGATAAAAATGGTTTTAAAACTCAAGTAGATGTTGGACAGAATTTCTTTATCGAAGCACACGTTCCTGATGCTTCTAAAATTCTGTTGGACGTTGGCTTAGGACACTATGTGGAATTTTCTCTAAATGATGCTTTGGTGATCATCAATGTTCGAATCAAACTCTTGGAAAAACAGATTGCAAACATTCGCAAAGAAATAGCTAAAATAAGTGCTCATATTAAACTAATTCTCTTAGGTATTATGGAATTGCAAGGATTGGAGAATACGGTGTGAAGCACATCTTGTATAATATAATGTTCATCGGTCAATGTAATTTTCTAACAATTTCTCTGTATATACTTTTATATCAAGTTACTTGTACATAATTACAGTATTAAATAAACATTGAAAAACAACATACCAAATAAGTAATTGTGCGTTTATTTTTGCAGCTGTTATTTCATTATTCAAAATTAACAACGTTTATCAATTTCAGCGAGGTTGCTTTTGTATAATTCGCTTGCGCATTTAATTTAATGCAAATCGTTGCCTATACTCCATCAACTTCCTACCCTGAAGATTGTGCTTTTGTTTCCTCATTAAGCGCAATTGTGTGAATTTAGAAGGACCTTGTACCTCGTTTATATATGATAGACATCAATCGCAAGCAGATCAGTACGTTTTTCGCTTCAACGTTGCTTTCCCATTTTCGCGACGCTTTCTGGCGTGAAGCGTTCGTTTTAATGTCGGATTGGCAGAGCATACCATGCGTGGAAAGGCACAAACAATTTCTCGAGAAGCTTATCGCAGCCTTGATCGATTGCACTTTTGAAAGTGTGTCCCGTGAAAATCCCGTATTAAGATGGAGAGAACCGGGTCGTCTACAGGATATCATAAACTTCAATTTGCAGGAAGAGCCACAAAGCCAGGATAGTCTTTTAGAGATCGCGTCTAAGGTTTTCAAATATAGTGTTAAAACAGGACACCCTTACTTTATGAATCAGTTGTTCTCTGGGTGAGATATCGACACGTGCATGAGTTTTTTCACTGTAGGAACGATCGTAAGAATTACATAATTTTTATAATTATACAGAAACGTGTAAAATTTTATTCTCACGTGTGTTAGAATTTATAACGATCGTGCATAAAGTATAATTTAAGAATAATAGCTATTTTTACCATTTCGAATTTCACGCTCACATGGTAAATTTGAATAAATGAATATTGGTTTTAAAATACCAAATTGTGTATTTGTGAAATTTCCTTCTTATTAAACGGGAGTTTAGGTCAAGAATGATTTATTCATTGTTGCAAATAGTATTTCAATTTGAAGTGATCACGTTGAATCTGTGACTTTCATCAAATATTTTGATCATTTTTCTTGTCTCAAACACATAGACAGTTAATGGGTTTTAGACACAGAAGTTTCATTATTTAGAAATCGAGCTGTAAAATGTACTTTCACATTGCAGGTGCGTTAACGATGTTCTAAATCTTATTTTTAATGTTTGCAAGAACACAGCTGTTAAACACGTAACAATCAATTATTTGATCGAGCATTATATAATCTTACAGATACTCTCACTGCAAGATTATATAACAATTAAAATGGCGCAATTTTATTTAAAAAATTTGAACAAAATAAAATTGATTTAATAAAGTACGAATAATAATAAAAGGATGAAATCACGTTATTAGTACAAAAATTCGTAAGATTAAATATTACATAATTTTAAGATACAGAATATCTGCAAAAATTACATAATATTCAATCTTAATAATTTTTCTGTTAACAATGCGATTTAATTCATTCGCATTATTATTCCCGTGTATTTCATTGAATCAATTTTATCTCGTAAAAATTGCAAGCAAAATTGTTACAAATTTGAAAAATAAAATTGTGCAATATTGCGATAACTATTTTAATTTTATTTTTCTATTTTACGCGGGAAACTGCATTACGGAGATACAATTCGAAATCTAACTCATCTTCTCGTTCAGTTGCTACAGTATTAACGAAAGGTTCAGGTGCGTTAAAAATGTTATTAAATCAAAATTCATTTAGATTGGACCCCTATGGCTTAGCCGGACAATGGCTCACAGACGCGTTAAATTCCTCGGTATATACTTACGAAGTGGCGCCGGTTATAACGCTGATAGAGAGGACAGTAATTAGAAAATTGTTAAGCATGTTTTATAAGGAAGAAAATGGTACTATGATCGGAGATGGCCTTTTCTGCCCAGGAGGTTCGTTCGGTAATGGTATTGCCATTAACTTGGCGCGGTTTTCGTTTAGAAAGAAAACTCAAAGTGTGAGTACTTACGTTGATGAATAACTTCGATAACCGCGACCGTTTTGATGAACGAGCATTGGAACATATATTTTTTTAATTACTTAACATCGCTGCCATCGTATAATTTTCACTTCGACGTACATTGAAGGTACAGATTATCGGTCGTAAGATCGTATGATAAGGCGAAGTAAAGGGAAATGATTTTGCAACGAATGTAGCAGCCTTCTATTTCACGATTATAATTCTGAAAAATTGTTATTTTACTTGCATTCCGCGTGGATACTCTCATATTTCGTTCGACTTACTTCCGTAAAATGTACACTCTATTTCGAGTATTTCACGAGGATCGATTATTGTTAATCTTATTTATCAAAGAAAAGAGAAAAACAGAAGCTCGTTTCATCGAAAGGTTATAAAAAAATCGATTTACGTATTTATAATATTTAGTGCTTTTGGAATTTCATGTATGCATATATATTATGCAATAATTGAGCCATTCAGAAGCCGAAATGATTAACTCCACTTTTTGAAATTCCTCCAATTTTAATATCAAAGTACATGCTTGGTGCTTAACTCTTTGTAAATACAAAAGATTTCATTTAATTTAATTTGACGGAGTTAGCCATTCTGGCTTCTGAGTGGCTCAATTAATGACCACTAATATTCATGTTTTAGAGTAAAATTATATCCTTAAACTTGGTACTTTTCACATCCGAAGATGCTCATTACTCGACCTTAAAATGGGCAAACGTTTGTGATGTGGAAGTTGTACTTGTAAAAACCGATGAATATGGTAGAATGGATATTGGTGATTTAAGGGCTAAAATATTAAGAGAAAAAAGCAAAGGAAATTATCCGTTTTCTGTTACAGCAACCGCAGGTACGTTAAATGTTGATGCAAAGTCGTTTCATGTAGAAAATATAGGAATAAAATTGAAAACAGAAGAATATTAATGACCGAGTTTAATCGTTGATAATTACATTCATTTGCAGGTACAACCGTTCTGGGTGCCTTCGATCCATTAATCGAAATTGCAGATATTTGTCAAGAACACGATATGTGGTTGCACGTGGATGCAGCCTGGGGAGGCGGTCTGATATTCAGCAAAAAGCACAGTGCTCTCTTAAGAGGAATACAAAGAGCAGATTCTATTTTGTTTAATCCACACAAATTACTGGCTGTTCCTCAACAATGCTCGTTGCTTCTAAGCAAGCATGAAAGTATTTTCAAAGAAGCACATTCTAAACAAGCTCCTTACCTCTTTCAAAAAGATAAATTTTACTCTACTGATTTGGATGTGGGGGATAAGTATTTGCAGTGTGGACGCAGACCAGATGTGTTGAAATTTTGGTTCATGTGGCAAGCTAAGGTAATATCATAAATGAAATATTCAGTTTAATCAGATTCTGTTTACCCAAAATTGTTTGACTTATTTCTGGCACAAAGCATCTATTCAAAAATGCTCCTTTCTTAAGGTTCATGCAGTGTCTCACATGCTTCGAACACAAGACAAGTGTGACACATAGGTTCCTCTCCTTCCCTTATTAATCTTTAAGTGTCAACCACTTATGCAAATATGTGGAAAACTAGCCTTGGTAGCACTTTTTCCCCTGATCTTCCTTTAATTGTGCATCTTGTACTTTGTGGTTTAAGCAGTCACTGCGATGCAGTCCGTACAAGATAAGGGTCTGTATGCTATGTTTCAAGTGTTTACCAATATACTTATGCATACATTAACTTCCCCTGCTAGGAATAAAGAATGTTCATACTGCACCTATTCACTGGATTTTCAAGATCATAAAAGAAGCTCCTAAAATTGGCAAGGGGGTCTGCCGATAGCAGTGCTTTTAGACCAATAGCTTTTAAAGTTCCTGTTTTCCATTCATATATTTTCATATCGTATTGTCATTAGCATATTTCAGTTTTGAATGGTTTGTTTTTAAATTGTATTCTTACAGTTGTGTTGGGAAAATGCTTATAAAATAATATTCCAATATGTATCATGATTTAGACTTTATTCTTTCAGTTAATTCTACCAAATTTAATAGTTGTGAGACCAATATACAGATCAAAACCTTCAATATATTAAAATCCAAAAGAAATAATATATGTGAATATTTTTTAAATACTTGTAGAAATGTACTCACTCTAGTAGGTCTTATAACACTCAGGAATCTGTATGTTAATAGAGAAATTAATTGTCCTGCATTTCTATCTATGTTTGATTAAAAATAAGTATAAAATTTATATATTTTTGTTTAATTTGCTCATTGAATTTACTACCAATAATAATGAATAGTAAAATAAGTAGCATTATTTCAAAAAAGTTCTATTACATAGTTGTATTGAGTAGTTCTACCTTACATCATGCTACTGATAGGAAATGAATTACTCTAAATAGCTGTATTTATTAATAATAATACAACTTTATCGATAATAATAATCGTACTACATTGATAAAATTATGTTTTGTAATTTTTTCACAATATTCCACTATTTCATTATAAGAAAAGTGTTTCTTTTTTCATAGAAGTTCAAATGTCATTCGAAACGTTACTATTCTTTAAAAAGAACGAAAAGAAACTTTAATAACATTATAATTTCTTTTTTCTTCCTTTAAATATCACATATTTATATAAACATATTTTCTGTAAACGTTTTTATGCTTCTCGGCAACAAAATATTATGCAAATAATGTTGTTTACAGAGTTCAAACTCTATTTCAGGGTACTTCAGGATTTGAAAAACATGTGAATCATTTAATGACACTTTCAGCTCTTTTTAAAGAAGAAATAGAGAAAAGACATGCCTTTAAATTGGTGACAGACTCGTGTTTTATAAACGTGTGTTTTTGGTTCATTCCACCATCTTTGAGAGTTTCAAATTCACTGTATAATTATAACAACTTATTAAACAAAGTAAGTTACATAAATTTTCTACTTTAGCAATCGTAATTTTAGACATGAATATTAAAATATTATTTTTTAAAATGATAAGATATTCAAATGTAACGTGTTGGTAACTTTCGATTTATTTGGGAATATATTTAAATAGTTTCGTATGTGTAATATTTATTCTCTAAATAATACTTAGAAGTAGTCGAATCTACATATTCAAGTTAAAATATTATGTATATTTAATGGATTATTTTCCATCTGATTTAGTAAGTTATTGATTTTACAAATTCGTTAGGAATATGTAATAAAATGTTACAAAAATTAAGATATATTTAACTACATCATTTAAAATTGTGCTACGTTTGTATTTTTTTAATGTTGATAAAAAATAGTGTACCGATTATGGGTATGACAGAAACCTATACTTACTCCTGTAGATTCACATATTTTGATATTGTAACTACTTTAGATATACAGTTCGATTGATAAAATGCATTTCTTTTTTACTAGCAATTGATAAAAGACAGCTCTGAACTACTCATTGTTAAATTTCCAAAACCAAAGGAAAGTTAGTTTTCAAAACTAAACTTGTGTTAAAACTATTCCATTACATCATAGTAAAAATAACATATCAACAAAAAATATTCACTAAAAACTCCATTCTTTAATTAGGTTGCACCAAAGCTAAAGGAAAAAATGACCAAAAGAGGTAGTTTAATGATCAGCTACCAGCCACTTCGTGAGAAACCAAATTTCTTCCGTTTTGTTATTCAGAATTCAGGAGTGGATAAGCAAGATATATACTACGTTTTTGACGAACTGGAGAATCTAGGAGAATCTATGTGATTATTTACAAAATGTACATAACTGAATGTTAAAAATCATGTAAAAATTAAAAAAAGAAAAAAAGTAGTGATATATTTAATTTCTTTTTTATTATCTCTGCGTTTCTATATGCTTCATGGTCAAATTAATAAATTCATGTATCATACATTTCGATCGAAAGCTCTCTCTTGTACTTAACGAAAGTTCTAACGGCGCTCTAAATTTCATCGAGCCTTTTTTCGAAAGAACTAACGAATTCCAACCACGATAATCAATTCCTCCGAGTTAACTAGACGAAACCTAGCAGTCTGGTGGTCTGATTAGGAGAGGGGCTGCCACTAAATTTCTAATGCCAAGGTACGAAATTAATTCGTGACTGCGTTCGTTGTAGAGCCCGCGGAGTCGCGACGTACTGGCTGACTAATCCTGATTCAAGTGACAGCATATAGAGAAGCCCTATGTATATCTATAGGACTACGCTCGTAGTACGTGTAGTATAATGATTTCCAACAACAACTGCACGGTTTTCCATTCAAATTCAGCAAAATATTTCTACACTTTTTACGGATTAAGTCTGTTAAATTGAAACCTGTTTTACCTTCGATTTTACTTTGGTATTAGAATATATTAACCCTTTCGTGATTTAATTCTCTTTTTTTAACAATTTTCCTCTTCTGAGTAAGTAACAATTTTTTCCTCATTTTATATACGTAAAATTATGTTTGTAAGTGTTTTACATACATTTCCAAAGTATTCACTTACATTTCATTATGTCAGAATTTTAAAAAAATGACAAAAAATTCTGAAAAATTATGACATTTCTAGATATTAATTTAACCCTTTATCATTCACATTTTTCTCAACATTTTTTCTTCCACAAATTCAACTTCGAACGTTAAAACAGCTAATTTATCGAGTCTTTGTCCGAAGTAGGTCTTTGTATTTGTTACAAAAAAGAAGTTTTAATAACCCGTATTATGAATAGCTCATCTGTGACGTGTATGAAGCGTGTAATCGTTACTGCTTCACATATTTTAATCAAACGTCACGGATGTATGTCGCGCTAATTGGTACGTGGAATCTGCAATAAAAATTCGAAGCTATTCAGAGAACAATTGACGTGCGTGCACAGGTTCACGTATTCAGTGATTAGTATTACTAGAAATATCTAACGAACTATTCAACCCTTTGAGCGTTCTCGTCAAAATTTCTCCATTTTCAAGCTTACTATTTTTTTCTAATTTTTACTATCTTTCAGGAAAGTTGCAATAAAAATGACGAATCGAAGATTGTACATTTGATGCTTTCCTTGAAAAATTCTTCTAAACATTTTTACCAATTTCCTTCAATTATTTAACCCTTACTGTTCTATGAAAGTGATCTCGTACAAATTTCTCTACGTTAAGTTTAATATTTTATCTAATTTTTACTGTCTTCTATGAAATTTGCATTAAAAATAATGAATTGAAGACTGTATATTTGATACTTTCTTTGAGAAATTCTTCAAAATTTTGTCCACTGATAATTGTCATTCTTATATTTTGAGTTAATTAGACAAAAGTGTGTTTGATTTTGACTTTTACTTATATTTTGCAATGATTATTATACTCGCGAAAATTGACGTACTTATCGAAGCTGTTAAAGTACTTGAAATGATCGTTTCAGAACACGAAATGGGCGGGTCGTTTCGTTCATTCTTCAGCGCAGAGTCATTATTAAGAGTTGTAGGTTTTTGTTCCAATTGTGCTCTCATCATTGATATTCCCATTTAATTTGTAATAAACCACGTTAACGAAATGTTTAATATTTAATTACCGTTATCGTGGAACCGCGCGCCGGTGATTCTGACAAACAATACGAAACACCCGTATGCATAATTAATTATAAAAACATGGAAAACAATCATGATAATTGAGCAGAATTTTAGATCGTCAAAGGTCATGAAATTCGACACCGCAACCGCCGATAAATTACAATATTGAACGAATTCACGTTAACATAATACGCGCGTTAAAAGTCTGCTAAATGTGTCAACGTTTGCTTATTCTCTGCGCTCGTCGTTACATTTCCAGCTCACTTTCTGAAATAATACAAATTACTTCGTTCAACATACTTTTTCAGTCATCGATCGTTTCCCGATTATTCCCTTAAATTTCGCTATTTCATAATTCTAAAAAAAAATTGCAAAAAATCCTCAAAGACTATGACGTTTCAGATAATTCAGATTAATTCAGCGCACTTTCTGAAATAACAGAAATTTCCTCGTTTAACATACTTTTTCAGTCATCGATCGTTTCCCGATTATTCGCTTAAATTTCGTTATTTCATAATTCTAAAAAAAAATTGCAAAAAATCCTCAAAGACTACGAGGTTTCAGATTAATTTTCTATACATCAGTTCAAAATAACTGAATAAACCGTAAAATTAACTTGAAATACCGCTAATTTTTATTTCACAAGGTGTAAAGTACGAATAAATTTCGAAACTATCCATTTATACCCTCGTTTCACGATTCTAAAAGAATTACCGAACGTTCTAAAAAATTCCGACCTTTCGGATAATTCAGATCGACACTGCTTTTCTATTTCCAACGATTTCGGAACGACTGTGACAGGTTTAATAAAAGATACTTTGGTGTACAAGTCTTGAACGTGTTTCTTTATCGTATTAAAATAGGGTGTGCGAGAAACCCTTTACAGGGAACTGTGCTTGTGTGTTACGTTCCTGTCCCCGAGCCACTGCTAGGGGTGCTTGCCCTGCAGATGAACTTAGACAGTAGGTTGCCGCCACGAAAGACGGTGTTAACGTCGATAGTTACCATTCCGATCGTTCAGTAACCCGAATGTCAGTCGATATCTTCAAACTCGACGGCCAGGATGGGAAGGGTCTCCCAATTCACGTGGCACAGGTACCATTTTTTTTGCTACTTGGACCGTTTCGTTGATAGCCGCGACGAGAAATTATTCGCAGCTCGATTGTTACAATTGGAGGATTCTTTAATCCCACTTTTTTCCGCAACTTTTCGTTCTGGTCTTGGGAAGTTACGATTTCAGAATTATTTGTCACAGTTTTGTGGAAATTGCACACCAGTGTTCGTGTAGACTTTGAAATTTTTTGGTAACAATGTGAGCTAATATTGGGATAGTAGCTTGAGCCGACAATTTGGGGGGAAGAGAAATGCAAATTTACCATTGATTTCAAGTATAGTTAGGTGGAACTGTATGATGCAGAATTTTCAACTCCTTTTTAATTTTTGCACTTTAATTTGGACTTTTGGACATTAGTGACAAATTTAACGTTAATTCCACATCGTGATACTAATAATAATGTAGTAATAGTTTTACAGTAAATCATATTTGTCCATAATCCTGCAAGTACAATAGTTTAATTAATTTTTCATTGTTTTTCTTTGGCACATTTCTTTGTCATTCTTAGAACGTGGGCTTCCTGGAAACGTATCGCTACCTCATGGAAGATGCGGCAGGTCAGTTTTCCTTCTCTTTAACTTAATTTACATCGAATTCCATTTGACACTTTAAATTAATTCTCTTTTTTATTTTAGTTTAAGCGTGTTTGATAAATTCACCATTTTAGATCCCAGAGTTGCGGATTGGCTGTTCATGGGCAGTCCGTTTCTATTGTCAGGAATTATATCCATTTATCTGCTCCTCGTTCTACGTCTCGGCCCGTTGTACATGAAGAAAAGGAAACCATACAATCTGAACAAAATTATGATTTTTTACAATATTTTCATGGCGATTGCGAGTGCTGCTGCATTTCACGGGGTGAGTTAATTTGAACCGAATTAAATATGTCTCTTTAAATCTGCCAGGACTGAATAGAGAAACGTGATTCGTTGAAATATCTCAATTTTCTTCATCTTTTATTTTTCTTTCTAAAACAGTTATTAATCGATACCAATGAACGATGTATTCTTAAAAATTTTATTGCTCATTTATTTGCTGCACTCCCAAATTAGAGACGTCATTTTTAGGCGATTTTTGGGACGAATAGTTATCGTATAATTCTAATCCAAGCGACTTGAAATTTTTCACACACGTTTGGTCATGTTTCCGGAAAACACAGTGCAATTTCTATGCAATTGTCTTAATTGCTGTTCAAGTTATTAAATATTTCCCGCAATGTGGCATTTTTCACCACATTTTCTCCCACGATTCGCTCTGACACAGAAAAATCAAAGGCGAACTGAAATCCTCGAATATTTTCTTGCAATTTGAGTTTAACAATTATTTCACGTTTCTGTTGTCGCAGTACTCGAAGTAATCAATATATTCGTACATTTCCAGCTGCTCACCTCAGGCTTCACCACGAAATACTCGCTTGGCTGCGAGGCTCATACTGTTTCCTACGATTCTGAATCTTATCGTGTAAGTACCGAAGGCATTAACGATACGCGAATTTCGATAGTACCAGTGTTATGTGATTTTTAATAGATGGCTCGATGGGTGTGGAGGGTTGTATTGTTGAAAGTGTTCGAGCTCAGCGACACTGTCATCTTTATTTTGAGAAAGAAATACAACCAGGCGTCTTTTCTTCACATTTATCATCACACGTCGACTGTTCTTCTCGCGTGGATAGCGTGCAAATTTGTCCCAGGTAAATTTTCACGTACTCCTGTCAACTTATTTCTAACATCAACATGCCACATCGTACTTTCGTATTTAAACCAACATTTTTCAAATTTTCGTGACACGCTTGACACGTGAATATGTCCCTTTCATGTGGAACACAATTGTAGGGAAGTTGTAAAAAGGAAAAATAATCGTTCAATTAGTAAATTGTCATTCTTTGAAAAGTTTGAGCTTTTTCAGTTTGGTTATATTCAATTGCCTCGAAATTCAGGATTTCAGTGCAAAACAATTGAAGTAATTAAAATGTACACAGTTCTCGTTAATATTTTTCCAGAGTTGCTGCGTACTCTAAATTGCAATCTTTCTTTTCTTTTTTTTAAATTTCTGCCCTGGCTCGTTGAAACAATTTTTCAAAAAAATAAAGAGCTGTATAAAATCAATCGATGCATTAGCAGAAGAGGTTCCGCGACAGCTCCTTCATTTTGTGACATTTTCACATTTGAAAGATTGGAGAAAAAATCTGAAAGTTACATTTACATTCTCGGAAAAGCAAAAATTGGAGCTTTTCGTTTGGTAGCAGCCTGTGAAAAAAAATTCCAAACGTTATTCCTACTTTTAGACACCGCAGCTGTGATGTAATGACTTTAATCGACTTTCACACCGTGTCCTCGTAAAAAGAATTCCGTATGAATCGAAATGAAATTTCGGTCGCGGTATATTAAGTTTAGCCATTACTCTCAGTATGCAACACGGTCACGGTGGAAAACACACACGCAGACAGTTACATAGCTTAAATTCCCAATAGTCGTGAATAACATACGCTTTTCGAAAATTCATTTCGCGAACCGTGTGTAACTTGGTTTGCTCAAACTCCGCCAACTATTTCGCGGATCCTCGTTCGCTGAAAATAGAAAAAAAGAATGATATTAAATCGATTTGATGTGTGTGGTTATTTGCAGGCGGCATGTGGACTTTCACGATTATGTTAAACAGCATCGTGCACGTGATTATGTACACCTATTATCTGCTCGCTTGCTTGGGCCCGGAAATGCAAAAGAGAATCGCACCTTGGAAACAATACATTACGGGCTTACAAATGGTACGTTTCCATTTTCTATCCGACTCCGCTATCTGCGAACGTTGCATACACACGACCCCGGAATGCATATATTGTCGCGCGGTGTTCCTTGTGCCCGCTGAATTGCCGTGCTGGGAGTGTTATTCGCTCATTTCACCGTGCTGCACCGTCGCGCGTATCGCGTAATCGTAAAATTACATTCCCACCTCCACCCCCCTCGACCCTTCATCCCTCCTGCAACCATCGTTGTACTGTAGCGTATTTTTCAAATGTGAAATTGCTATTGACGTTCGAGCGTCGCGACTGTTAGCGCAACCGGCTAAGTAAATTAATCCGTATCAAGCGGGATAACAGGCGCAAAACACCGCTCGATCCGTGACTCTCTTTTTTTTTTTGGCGAACGACTGCAAAATCATTCGCAAAACTGACTGATTGGATAATGGCGATAGTGTCGATTTCGTGAGTGTGAGCGATCGTGCGTGAGTGTATGTAAGTGAGCGTGAGTCTACGTTAGTGAGCATGAGTGCCTGTGAGTGACTTTGAGTGAGTGTGAGTGACTGTGAGTGAGTGAGTGTGAGTGTGTGTAAGTGACTGGGAGTAACTTTGAGTGAGTGAGTGTGAGTGTGTTTAAGTGACTGGGAGTAACTTTGAGTGAGTGTGAGTGAGTATGAGTGAGTATAAATAACTGTGAGTGATCGTGAGTGAGCGTGAGTGACTTTGAGTGAGTGTCTTTGAGTGAGTGTGAGTGAGTGTGAGTGAGTGTAAGTGACTGGGAGTAACTTTGAGTAAGTGACTGTGAGTGAGTGTAAGTGACTGGGAGTAACTTTGATTGAGTGACTGTGAGTGAGTGAGTGTGAGTGTGTGTAAGTGACTGGGAGTAACTTTGAGTGACTTTGAGTGAGTATGAGTGATTATTAATAACTGTGAGTGATCGTGAGTGAGCGTGAGTGACTTTGAGTGAGTGTGAGTGACTGTGAGTGAGTGTAAGTGACTGGGAGTAACTTTGAGTAAGTGACTGTGAGTGAGTGTAAGTGACTGGGAGTAACTTTGATTGAGTGACTGTGAGTGAGTGAGTGTGAGTGTGTGTAAGTGACTGGGAGTGACTTTGAGTGAGTGTGAGTGAGCACGAGTGAGTATAAATGACTGTTAGTGATCGTGAGTGAGTGTGAAGGACTGTGAGGAAGGGATGGAGACTTTGGATAGCTGTAACGCTTGATATTCACTGCAACTTTACTATGAAAAATCTCGAAACTATTTTCACTCTGATTTCTGTTTCGCTTACATTGGAATGTCACTTATACTTCTCCCTTTTGCGCTATTTCCATCCAGATTTCTCTCGTCTTGTTTTTTCTTCTCTTACTTTTATTACTTGCTTGTTTAATTAAGTGTCATTAACCTTTTCACTACGAAGGCCGTGTGTACACATGTGTTTACTGTAAAAGTGGTCGCACAGGGAAAATATCGCTGTCGACTGAAACTCAGGCAATACCAAAACGCACCAGCCATTTCACTATCATGAAACAGTCGACTTTCGATCTTACTATTTTCATTCTTACCTCAGCGTTGAATAATAACTGCCTCGTCCAGTACACAGCGAGAACTTTTTGTCGTACCGAAAGGGTTGACAATTCTCTCTTCTGTGATTTACTCAAGTGTTTCTTCCAACTCTGTCGCGACGATTACAGCTTGACAACTGATGTAAATACGACATATTTTACCTCTCTTCTTTTTCAAAGGACAGCAAAATAATACGTACAAAGGATTCATTTAGTTCACTCGAAAACCGGTCCGTCTGAACTGGTTAAACAGTTTTTATCGAAAATCCGATAAATATACATAGAACGGTTTGTAGGTGTACAACAGTATTTTCAAAAATGTAAATTCACGTGTCCGCGTATGCAGCTCTCTGTTGCTTTTATTTAAACATTGTCGGAGAAATGTGGCATTGTAACATTGGCGGTTTGAAAATTTTATCTTGATTTACGTCACGTTGCTGTTACTACATTAAAGATTATTATTCGCACCGTCCCGACTTCGTTAAGAATTATTATTATTCATACCGGGACAACAGAAATCCAATTATTTTGCGATGCAACATTTATACATGAAACGCGGTATTTATTCGGAGACGTGTAGCATAATCATTAAAAAAAAAAAAACGCAAAAAAGAATCGACCGGACCAGGCGACGACAAAAAAAAAACAAAATTCAATACGTTCCGCGTAAACCAACAGTTATAGTTACAATGAAATTATTTTTTATGCTTTCACCGGTGTGCCAAGAATCACAGATGAAACATACACAGCCGTAAAGTATAAATGTCAAAAAAGCGTACAGCGGGCACAGCATTTTCAGGGATAACGAAACGCCGGAAATAAATCACGTTTTCGCGAATACCTTTTTCGTTCTACTACCTCGAACTCAGGATGTCACGTCGCGCTGCGCGATTCTTCTAATGAGAGCAATTTCGCATAATAAATCTAACATTCCGCGTCGAACGTTTTCATTATTAGTCGAATTACTTGGAATAGAACACAGGTGAAATCGTTTGCACCAGATTGAATTTTATTTTGCGCTAGTCTTTTTCTTTTACTATATTGAATAATTTCAATTTTCGTTCGTGCTCTCGCTTTAACAATTTCTCATTCAAGTATCTGCCGATTTTTGGCATTTTCAAGGGTGGGAAAATTGATGAAAAGTTGAAATTTTTCGTCACTTTTGTCTCAGCTCTTTTTACCTCCGGCTGTCGAATAGATTTAAAAATAGTGGGCAAATGTTATACTGTACAAGTATTAATACTGTAAAAATTCTGTACTATACAAATATTAATGCTATAAAAATTTGCGTCCTTTTCTCTGTTATCAACATCTTAGGCACTGTGACACCTCTTTCTACATCGAGTTATCAAGTACGTTTAAAAATGCCATACTACAAAAATTCCACCCAAATTTTCATCGATTTTCACTGTTATCAACATCTCAAGCACTGCACCACCTCTTGTCACCTCAAGCTACAAAATACGTCAAAAAAATCCTATAAAAATACGTTTCTCCGCGGTGTCGTTATCACTGCGGACGAAATGGAAAAAAGCCCTGGCTAAATACCTTGTTAGCCGACCGAACATCGACATTCGAACATGCTACATTCTAAAATCAAAAGCCAAAACTGACGCAGCCTGTGTCAGAGTGAATATTTCATCCACGCTGCCAATCAAGCCCGAGAATCACGGGAAAATGAATAAAAGCTACTCGATCCTCGTTCGAGCACTCTCGGGGAAACAATGAAACGCGGCCACGCCTTTGGCCACCGAATCTCCGCTGTTAAGAGGTGCAATATGTTTTCCTCGATGAGCACAAAAAGCACCTCTACACCTAGGACAAGAACCGAGGGAGACGCGTGTGTGTATGCATACGTCGAGGTTGTCGCGCATATTGGCCCGTATTCGGTGCTCTTAACTCGATAACCGAGTTTTTGCATCAACGCTGAAAAGGTAGTAAGTGCCGGATGTGGAATTACATGTATACACGCGGCGATTCGATTTGCGTCTCGAATCTCGACAGGAAACAACAGGGAGAGGGAAGGGACGTGTGCGAGGGAGAGGATCGGGAACTGTCGACGTCGCTGTGATTTTTAATTAAATAATCCGCCGGTGGAGAACTTTTATTTCTCCGCGTGAGATATCGGCGGAACGATTTATCGGGTTACGCGGCCGTTTAATTTCGTGTTAAAGCGTTTCGAGCTGCGCAGGAGCTGAGACTTGGAGCGCGGAGGGCCGTAGCAGGTCAGAGTGTAATTTTACTTGTGACTTGAAGAGAGATTAGTGAGCTACTTAGATTGTGCGTGAATCGTTCTCCTTTCGGATTCTTTTTTTTATTATTTTTTTCGTTTATTCTCTTTCTGTTTCTTTCTGTCTTTTTTATTTGGATCGTGAACAGCTAGAATCTAGACTTTCTCGTGCATTCAGGGATTATTTTCTAGATCGTGATTTTCGTGATCTAAGGTTTGTAGGAAAATTCACCCTTTATAATTCGATTTTTCTTTATTCACGAGATGAAAAATTAGGATCGATATAAATTTTACATTTTGATGGGAGGACCAAGAATTAATGATTATCAGAAAGAATTTCTCTCTCCCTTTTTGTTCTTTTTTTTTTTAAATCAAGAACATCTATCATAGAATGTAGACTTTCACGTACTTTTAGGGATGATTTTCGAGATTAGGGAAATTAACCTTCTCTAATCTGATTTTTCTTTATTCGCGAAAATTAGGATTGACTAGAATTTATATTTTGACGGGAGAAGCTAGAATTAATAATTACTATAAGGAAGTTCTATTTTTCTCTCCTTTTTCGTTTTATGATTAATTAGTGCGAAGGAAGTATGTGCAGAGTTAGAATTATTTTCTTGTGTGGTTCCAGATCCAGTTTATCGCGATGATATGTCATACAGTTCAAACTTTGTTGCCTTCCTGTGAGCCAAATCGAAAGCCAGTAGCTTTTCTCTACATATCTCAGATCCTTATTATGTTCTACATGTTTTGCGACTATTACAAGAAATCGTATCTCACGAAGAAGACGGAGTAAAGGTTTCGTGAGTCAGGAAGGCCTGGGTAAGCAAAAACGATGGAATTATTAGCTTTTTATTTTTCCAAACGAAGATCTAAAAATATTCAATTCTATAGCATGAAGCAAAACATATGCAATTTAGTAATAACTACAGTATCATTTAACTTTGCTTCACGTGTTACCTCGTAAGTTTTTCGTATATCAAACAAACATTTCCCTAGATTAAAACAAAAACACTTCCTGTTTTCCCAAACAAAGATAAATTTTTTATTCATCCTCTAAAATAAGAAATCAATTATTGCTAACTCGGGAAAAGTAATTATATTTCAAGATATTCAATTGTACAGCGTCAAGCAAAAAAGAAGCAAAACATGCGATTAAGTGGTAATTAGGGTTTCACCTGGTACAACCAATAATCTATCAATTACTCACCTTTGTTTCACATGTTACACCGTAATTGACCACAATTTGAAATTTATCGATCATTACCTAAGTTTTACAATTATTCCATTACGAGCGAATTATTTCGTAACCATATCGATTCAGTGCAAATTAATTACCACCCCAAATTCACACAGACGCACAAGCCGTGTAATACCAACTAATTTCCTTGGAATAATCAATTTTCTCTGTCGACAGGTGGTTTCGGCAAGGATAGCGACACGTGTGAAAGAGCTGGCTGTTGCAAAAAATCGTAGAGATATCCAGCCTTATTTTTCCGGCCTGTTACTATTCGTTAGCTGTTCTATCTCCTCGAGAGCGTGTCTATGTAGTGATAATGCCACGGAGAATCAGAATGGGAATGATCGCGGACGCGTCGCTTGATATATCGCGCTGGCGGAGAACGCATTAGAAAGACATGCATCGGGGAAAGACATGCAAGGGTACAAGCCATGTTACAGGGGTAAAAATTCGCGTATCCGAGTCAGCTCGGATTTTGCTCGCGGGAATGCTTTTAGTCGGATTCTTTTTTTTCTTTCTTTCTTTTCTCTCTCTTATCTCCCGCTTTCTTCCCCTCTCTCTTTTGCCTCGTCCCGCCGGATCGAAACATATTACATTTTGTTTCGCGCAATATCGACACCATAGCCGTGACCGTGATTTTATTAAAATCCCGGCAGACAGCGGATCGACGTTAACGTTCGTTCGATACTTTCGCAGAGTATTTTCCTCTTAGCTACGCTCGTTTCTAGCCCGGCCCTTTTTTTCACTCCTTCGCGGAGCCTTTTCTTCGTCGCAATTACAGGGGCTATTGGATGTTAAAATATCTTCGGTGTTCTGTTTTTTTTTTTTTTTTTTTTTGGTAGTTAATATTGTCGTGGAATAAATGTACACGATGTTAACAGACGAGATAAAAGAGAACGTAAGGAAGTTTGATGTTAATTATAATTACAGTTATAAGATATTTAGGCGACGCGCGCGTATTTTATACATGTACTGTATGTAACAAACTGAAATGTTTGTAATAAAGATTAATGTATGCAAGTTGCCAAGGAGTAGTACCATTTTTGTAAAGAGTAGCACGAGGTGAAAGGCATATTTTTGTAATTTTTCTTTTTTTTTTGAAGAAAATTCGTCAGTTTTGATGTGCAATATGAAAATTACGAATACGTGATTTTTTCGAATTTTCGAGAATGACTGGAAAGTAAGGAAATGTGACGTTTTTCGTGACCATTCGTGAAGAGTGATTAGTAAATGCAATTTTTTTTGTTAGGAAACTTCGTCAGCTTTAATATACAAAATGAAATTTTAAATACATAATTCTCCCCATTCGTAAAAGCAATTTTCTTCAGTATTATAGATAACGCTGTTACACCTGAAAAAGGGACATTTTCGTAATTTATTTTGAACGGAATTTCAACAATTTAATATGCAACATAAAATTCACAAATACGTAATTTTCCAAATTTTTAAGAATGACTGAAAAGTAAGAAAAACTGTCATTTCTTACGTCCATTTATGAAGTGTCATTAGAGAATTTACTGTTTTCCTGTTCGTCCTAATTTTCTTCGCAAAGTCCTGAATACAAAATTAAAGTTTCGTCTTTCGTGACATTTTATCAAAATGATATTGTAAAATCTATTCATACTGCATTCGATCTCATATTTGATCTGAATATTTTGTTACACGTGACAACAATTCAGTGTCTTTCACTGATGCACAACGAAAGGATGACTTTATTGTAGGATAGAGAATGGAATCGTGGTTCCTCTAAGTCATAGTTTGCAATTGAATAGGTAAGAACGATCATATCGAAGCTCGAACAAGTTTACCAAGTTGGAAAGTAGTGTCGAGCAAAAGTTGCTTAATTTAAAAAGAACCGGTAAATTTTCTTCTTAACAGCTCTATTTAACTTTCTTAAATAAATTTCTACTCATTTTTGTCAGCATAAAAATTCGACAAACTTTATCATTAACCAACTGTTCATAAATTAAATATTACAACTCAATTTCCTAAACGTTTCTCTTAAATTAATCATCTAGTTACACCGGTTATTTCCCTTCTTTCTTCTTTTCTCTTCAGCCAATCGAGAATTTTTCACCGTAACACACATTCCCATAAAAATTCAAGCTTCAACGCGGCGTGACATTTCAATGTATATTTGTTTTTATGGACAGTTTTCACGCAACCGGGCATCGTCATACACATGGCTGCGCTTGTTCTCACGGACACGCATGTCCAAAAGGGTAACATTAAAGCCGCCGTTTTCCCGGCCGACCGAAATTAGCATAAGGGATTAGCGCGTCCGTGGCTTAAAGTCGACACGCATGGTTGCACGCCGATAAGACTTTATTAACGTCAGCTTTATTTATCTTGCAATTTCGACCGGCGCGTAAACCTCTACTTCGCCCTCGACTTACTCTATCAGGATTAGGAATAGGCTGGTTCACCAGAAAGATTCTGCATTTCATTTTCAACGTGACTGTGGAAACGATGTTAATTAAAGGTGACGAATTTTTCTCATTGCTCCGAGGACAAATTTTTCGCTGTAGTTGTTTAATATACCGATAATTATTCGTGTAATTTTTACTACATACTTAAATGTCATGCAATATATACAGGGTGAGCTACGTGAAATAGGCCATTTAATTATCTTCTGTTAGCCATAGTGGTGCGAGAAAATTTTTATATTAATTTAAGTGGTTTAGAGATGGAAGCAATATTTTCTTGATGGACAAATGACAAAAAATGAAAGAAAGTTTCACGTTCGATTTAAAATTTTGGGGTCCATGGTCATTTTCAAAGTGTAATCTAGAGATGGAGAAATTATTTTAATAAAAACGCGTTTCAGATTAATAACTTTTATTTATTCTTAGATCATTAATAAATTCATAGAGGTGTTTTATAGTCACATTCTGTCTACAATGTCTATTTAATAATAATATATGAGTAACTCTTACGGGCATTGGAATTATTTAATGAATTTTACAAGCAAAATGTTCTTTTCGAAAAAAGGAAAATTTTAGAATTAAAGTAAATATTCACTGTCAAATAACAATTTTAAACGAAACGTTCTATTTTTCTTTCTAAAGGCTAGGGAACGAGGTTATGCTCTTTATTCCTCCACGTAACTCTTTAACGGAGAATCGTTATTCTTTGTATTGAATTAGTAATATTAAAGAGTTTACGAGAGTGTGTTACTTTTGCTCTCAAGTACAAAGTGACGCGAGAGCCTACGTGGCTGCATGCAATTCTTACGACTGTGAAAGGAACAGGGCCAAAGTGGATCTTCTTCTGCGAAATGTATGACCATGCTCCAGCCGACTGGTTTGGCTTTACTCGGTGAATTCATTTTTTAGGCACTGCGAGGTTTACTTGCGCCTGACACCGTAAAATTCTTGTCGCGCTGTAATTTCAGCGATTTGCAAATTTCAAGTAACCGGAGGTGTCTCCTTTTCCCAAGCAAAAAATTTGGCCAATTTAACGTCGACTAGCTAACATCGAGAAGTCATTTCTCGAGCTTAATTATCTTCTAAATTCGCATTAGCGAAATTTAAAGAGCGCAGAAGCTCTATTTTTCATTTTACCAGCGGCCGTGAATTAAAGTAAGGAATAAAAATTTTTTACTTCCCGCTGGATATTTTTTCGCGGTATTGTTTTTGCAAAATTTTCTTCCCTTTGTATTTCGTCGAAAATTTCCACGTTCTCCACGAAACCGAATGCACAGCTGAAACAGACTTGCTCATTTTTATGCAACCCGAGTCTGTTGATCATTACCGTGTTTTTTCATTTGGAAAGAAGCTTAATGTCAGTTAGTTGTTTACGTTGTACAACTTTTGCGCCATTTAGCATTTAAGGATAACGGTGATCAAGGGAAACGAGACGGTAGCGAACATTTTCTGCTTCAAATTGAAAAATCCAGCTGAGAGAATTTATTCTCGAGAATTGTAAATTACTGGCATTATGCGACGGAGAAATAAGCAACATTAGCGGGCAAAGTGCGCATGTGTATACACACGTATTTAAAAACTTATGAATATATATAGTTGAAGTAAGTGGAACGCCATTAAACAACATTATCCAAGAGACCTCTATTTCTTCTCAGACATTCACCGCTGTGTGCTTTATGCGGCATATTTTTAGAAAACTTACAAAATTTTCAACGCTTTCTGGGCCTCGGTTTTCGAAGAAATTTGTTTCAATTATTATCACATCTAAAATTCTTCGAGCCAAAATTTCCATTTCCATTTATTTGCACGCTAAGGTATTCAACCTCCTCGTAATTTCTTACAAACCTGAGGATATTGCATTCCATAATACGTCGTTGTTCGACTTTTAATTCCATCTTTTCCATTTTCACTAAAAATTCCCAGAGAAGCAATCGTTGAAAAGAAAAACAATAACAAAAAATTGGTGGTTGAAGTTAAAAATCGTATTTTCGGGCTGTATTTCTTTGTCTAAATATGAATTATATCGCGACGAGGCCGGCCGCCGTGCTATTGCACCGCGTAGCCTAGAAACGATGCCGTTTTTTATCGATCGAAAAATTTTTAATTCTCTTGCCGGACTCATTATTGCTG